TATTGAAACTACTTATACTAACTATAAACTACTTAATCTAAATATATGCTCGCCTTGCTCGCTTGGGAGGAGGCAAGGCGAAGTTAGAGTCAGAATCGGAGTCATCAGAGTCATCATCGTCGTCGTCATCGTCGTCTTCGGTGTCGGCGTCGGTGTCGGTGTCCTCCTCCTCCTCCTCCTCCGGGTCCTCCTTCTCGGAACTCCACGGAGGACTATAATCAGACATCCCGTCGTCGAAGGAGATGTTCTCCTCGGAGGAGTGGTGGAAAGGTAATTTGTGCTCGCTGGACGACGGACTGCTTGGAAACTTGATGGGGCTGTCTGACATTTTATTTGTAGATTGGAAGAGAAGGGGATGATGGATAAAGAAGATGGGTGGTTTTAGAGGGCACTGGGATTGAAGTATATGTACAACAGTGGGTACGTGGCTCTTAGGCTTCAGGCGGCGGAACTAATGGTGATTTGATGGCCTTGGAAGTTGAGGCAACTCAACACTCACATTGAATTTACCGTAGGTTGACCAAACCCTACTTTAGGGCCGGTGGGCAAAATGCGTATCCCAGCCGGCCCGGCTTTTCATGCGATGGAGGAAATACAACCCCAATACCACTGCTGCATCTATCGTCAACCCGTCGGTGGTAGAAGTCTGAACTGCCGGTTGAGGCCTCGCTATCGTTCCAATCGATGGTGCAAGTATCGCATCGTCGCTTCTATCACTACGGCGGTGAAAGTGGCAACAATGATAAATCAATCTGTAATCTGTAGTAGTGCTACTTCAGCATTAGATGCATCTAGCTGAACTTGTGCTTCATTGTCATCATATTCATCATCAATGATATCTGGAGCTGCAGCTGCAGCAGTCCTTGGACGCTTCCTGGTATACATCTGGCTGACAGAGGCAGCTGCAGCCCTAGGCAAGTTGCTTCCCTGTAGATTCTTAGATGCACCAATAGCTTCATCAACAGCAGCCCAAGTCAATTCATCACAATTCTCATGCACCCATTTGTTATCCCAATGAAATTCATCTAGGCATGAGAGGATTGCTAGCTCTCTAATTTTTTGAAACCTGTTTGATATCTTTTTGTTGTAACTGACATAGACCAATTTATTTAACCTCTTGTGCTCTAGTTTGTTCCTCTTTTTGGTGTGGAACTATATAAAAATAATGAACAACACATTAGTTTGCAAGCAATATCGTAGATACATAATTGATTTTACTTCGAACTAGCAGTGGTACTTACATGGGAAAAAACACTCCAATTATGCTCACAACCTGATGCAGAGCAGCAAAGACTAATAATTTCTTTGCTAGATTTTGGAGCTCAATTGAGTAGCCACCATAGGAATTCCACCAGCGAACTGAAACACAATTACATAATAATTAAGTCATAACAAAACAAATATTGAGAAGGATTGAAGGTTTTAAAATATCTAAAACTTACTAGTGTTCTTTTTGTTTGTCCATTATTGCTAATGGCATTGAGAAGCCTTCACCTTCAGACTGTTCATAATCATCAGCTTGAAGAGAAATATTGGATTGTTCACTGTCATCCGCCATCGTTTTGTATAAAATTTCATTGAACATGATCCTTAGCCTTGTAGCTTGTCTCTTGTCTTTCTCCCTTAAGGCAAAGAACTTGCCTGGATTCAAGAATAGGGTTGCCCCATACAACTTTTGCTGCATTTGATTTTCCCTCCTATTATCATAGCGCTTCATTACTTCTTTAAGCAAGTAGGGTTTAGATTTTAAAGAATCTTTGATGGTGGTCTTTGCAACTTCCATGGCTGCCATGATCTCAGGAGCTATTGGTGTCTCATCCCCATCTGCAATCCTTAGAGCGACGAGAAGGGGCTGTGAAGCTCTTAAGCAACACTCCACTCTATTCCAAAAAGGCAAGGAAAGGACAATATCCTCAACTTGTTTGTCTTCACTAGTGTTGGACAGACTGTTAGCGTGCCATTCTTCACTAACAAATAAAGCTCTCAAGCCATTCTTATGCTTGTACATACTTGCCAATGTTAGGTAAGAAGTAGCAAATCGAGTCAGCTAGCATTTGTTCATTAGCTATCTCACTTGAAGCATCCACTGCTGGATTGTTGGCAAGAAAATTGATTATATGGTGGTGACTCGTATCCGTCCAACCATCGAACGTGAGTGTGCAGCCATATTCTTCCCAACTCTCCTCATGCTTCTTTCTTAGTTCTGTTGTCCTATTGACAGCCCTTTCAAGCAATGATTCCCTAATGTCATGCATGGATGGTGAGCAGTACCCAGGTCCATACTGCCCAATGGACTCAAGCATTATCTCCAAACTTCTCGAAATAATGACATTGAATGGTATATCATTTTCATAGAAGAAATCAGCAAGATGATCATCAATAATTTGTTTAGCCTCCTTATCTTTCTTTGTGCACTGCTCTATAGTGGGCTGAGAAGTCTTGGATTTATGCCTTTCTATAGCTACCTCTTCTGGTGTCCTGCGAAGCATGGCACTAACTGACTTGGTGTTGGTGTTCTTTTGAGTTGCTGCTTTACTTTGACTAGCAACCACAAAGGAAGTGATGACAGCTTGAGCTATTTTCTTCTTTGCTTGTGATTGTGCTTGCTTGAGTCTTGTCCTAGAACTTGGTACTTTCGCTGATTCAACTTCAGTAACTTCATTCTCTTCATTTGCTTCTTGTTCACCATCTCCAAGAAGTGCCACAATTGTAGTCCTTGTATTCTTCTTCAAGTAAACAGTAATCTCTTGCTGGACTATTGGAGGTGGTTTTGGGCACTTCACTGCATCCCCATAACCCTAGCAAGGTGCATCTTTAACCGACTGATTCCTGCAGTCACTACCTTCTTATAGAAAATGCACTGAATAAATTCCTTTTTCGCAGGATCTGGCCACCACCCATACTTCCATCCTGGTCTTGAGAACGAGCCTTCCTCTTGGGATCTTTAGCCTGCTCAGCAAGTTCTGGGGGCAGTGTTGCTATATCCTTTTCTACAAGGTATGAAACATCTGGAGCAGCTGATGAGGATGCTGAACCAGCACCGGCTTATGCGACTGATGTGCTTGCACCAGCACCTCCTTCACGATTAGGCCCAGGCATGATGACTTCCACTGCACGTTGCCGCCTTCAATTTTCATCTACGCAAGTTCAGCAAAGAGCCAAAGAAACAAAGCATCAAGATTTGAGTATAGTGTAGAGGAGAGGAGATGACAGAATTGACAGAACAAAGCTGATTTAATGACTCACCTTTAGAGGAGGAGCTCATCTTGGTGCTCCCTTGGACTTGCAGCCTGCAGGTGGGGAAGAGAATAGGTGACCCTATAGTAGAAGGGAGGAGGAAGCAACAAGCAGCAGGGAAGATCCACGGACGGGCTGCTTGGATTGGAACAAGAAGGGAGGGAGGAGGGAGTGAGATGCACGGAGCAGGGAAGAGATGCAGGCTAGAGAGTGGGAGGACCGAGGAGAGAAAGAGTGGGGGTGAGATATATAAGAGAAACCCCCTGGCCCACATAAATATAGCCCAGTAAATTGAAGCAGCCCATCTACCCTATTTAGTGTTGATCGGCCAAGAGATCTAATCGGACGATTAGTCGTGAGTAATCGACCATTAATCGGACGATCAGGTTTCTGATCGCTCTGATCGAATCGGAGGGCCTAATCGAGTGCAAGGTACCGATAAGGACGATTATGATAAAAAAAAAACATTGCTGTAAGGGCCCTACATGCCATGTTTCTACGTTTTTTCTGAGAATTTTGAATTAATTTCTATAAAATTCTTACATTAATCCTGTAAAATTCCTGTGTTCCATCCGAATAGAAAAACAGAGCAACAGATGGTCTCCGATCCATCACGCCAAAACGATGGCAAACTACATGCGAAGTAAGCCACTTTGCCTGGCGCTTTCTGAATCGCTTCATTCGACGGAACCGTCGTCTGCCCTGTGCGCTTGGATATCTGGAGAAACCCACAAGAACCACTACGATCGAGCAAACATACAAGTCTGCATGTTTGGTTGTGGTTGGTGAGTGGTGACACCATATATAGAGTTGGCGTACGTGGACTTGACTGTTCCTTGAAAAGCTGATGAGACAGCTCCGGAAGCTCCTGCATGCGGCCATTTTCTGAAAGTTCATGTCGTTGCTGTCACGGCTCTGACTCCTGCCCAACTGTGCCATTTTGTCCTCACTAGAATCCCTTGCTTGATTAATCAAAGATACGTATGTATGTCTGCTCACAAGTGTGAAATCCATGCAAGTTTTAGTTCGATTACTAATTGAGATTCGCAGTTTTGTACCCCGAGGCGGGGCCAGTGCCGAAGGGCACCGGAGGCGCTGTTCCCACTAGTTGACATAGTGAGCTGTTCGATTAGCTGATTATGCCTGATGCAGTGCAGAAAGAGTACAATGCCGACCGCTAGGTACTCGTCGTGAATAAGAAAACCACCAGGAAGTAGTCCTACAGGAACGGCTTGTACTAGACCACCGATCATCGGGAACAGGAGCGTGAAGAAGCCAGCAGTCGCGCGTAAGCACTCCCTAAAAACCTGAGATACTCAAGCGAGTAGAGTTTCAAAGGGCCTGCTCTTCCGGTAGCCCGTGCGTGCAGGAAGCCGGAACGAGATGACAGAGAGTAGCGCAATAGCGAAACGGTGAGACGTGGTTATGTGTGATATGATCTGCCCGTGGACAGGAGGAGGATGCCACCTTTTGTAGCCTTTCCTGGAACAAAGACATGGGTAATGGTTGATAATGGCCATGAAGATGACGTCTGTTACTAGTAACCGACAAATCAATTCTCCGTTACTAGTAACCCACTAATTAACCACTAACCCACCTTAAAACATCTAACTAATGGTAACTAATGCATCGTGAAGTTCACCCTAGTATTAATCCTAGCAACTATAAAACGGCGAGACCGGTGAGGTGAACCCTCGAGACCGGCGGGAGAAAGCAATAAGTTAGAAGAGCTAGCTTAGGTCTCTCTTGGGCCTGCTCTTGCGATGGCTTCCGAGGTGCGCGCATGGCTTCTCCTCCTCGTCCTCCTAACATGGGGTGCTAGCTTGGGGCCGGCAGCAGGGGCAGCGCCGGCGCCGCCGCTCAACGTCAATTATGTGAAGGACTGGGGGCGCCTGGTCGACCACGGGACTGAGGTTGATCTCATCTTGGATCAGAGCACCGGTACGTACCTGCATGGTTGCTGCTTAGTTATTAGTTCTTGCCTTGCCAAACGACACACGTACTGCATGCACGCAAGAGAGACGACGAGGATAGTGAGGCTCTCGTGAATCGTGAATTCGTAATGAATAACATTGCCGTGATCGTGCAGCGGCTCGTGGTGGTGGGTTCAAGTCCAAGTCCACGTACGGGTCAGGGTTCTTCCACTTGAGGATGAAGCTGCCGTCCGGCTACACGGCCGGCGTCGTCACAACCTTCTATGTGAGATCGAAACTAAACTTGTTGTTCATTTTATTTTATCATATACTGATGATACAATAACGAAGATCGATCGTGTGCTTCTTGTAGCTTATTTCGCAGCCGGAAGACGGCACCCGTGACGAGGTGGACTTCGAGTTCCTGGGCGACAAGGCCGGCGTGCCCATCACCCTCCAAACCAACTTCTTCGTCAACGGCCACGGCCAGAGGGAGCAGCGGCTGCACCTCTGGTTCGACCCTTCCGCGGACTTCCATGACTACAAGATCCTGTGGAACCCCTACCTGCTCGTGTAAGCCCCAGACGATGAATTGCATGGCTCGGCGTACGTAGAATGAAGCTAGGCACATTTTTCATGTCAGCAATATAATGCAATCCACATGCAGGATGTTCGTCGACGAGACGCCGATCCGGGTGATGCGCAACCTGAGGAGCACCGTGCCGGGGTACGAGTTCCCAACGAAGCCGATGCTGATCCGCGCGAGCATCTGGGACGGCTCCTCCTGGGCCACGGACGGCGGGCGAACCAAGGTGGACTGGTCCAAGGCACCGTTCACGGCTGGGTACCAGGGGTTCGACGTCAACGGCTGCGCCACCGGCAGCGGGACGCCGTGCGACTCGCCGGGCCTGTGGTGGAACGGCGCCGGCTACCGGGACCTCACCGCGCAGCAGCGGGCGGCCTACGAGGGCGTCAAGAAGAAGTACATGATCTCCGACTACTGCGCCAACAAGAAAAGCCGCAAGATCGAGTGCAGCTATGCTTGATGGGCTGGCTAGGTGTGCTGGTACGGTGGATAGGATCATCGGTTTATGTGAATAATATATACGTATATACTCTTGCTGGTGTGTGATAGTTTGTTGGAACAATAATAGTAAAGGGTATGTTATTGTGAGTGTTTCAGGCATTATTGTTTGATTTGAAAACAACCGTAATTCTGGCTTTGTCAAGTTATGCCATGTTCATGCTTAAATATATCGTTTTATTAGGACCTAAGATTTTCTTTAAAGATAATAATGGAAGGTAACACAAGGGCGGAGCTAGACCAAATTCAAGGGGAATGCACTTGTGCCTTGTGGATATGTATATTTTTATTATAAGGGTGCGAATATGGTGAAAATTTAGCCATAGCCCACAAGTCACTACATAGATAAATCCCAGACATAACATCCCACTTCATCTTCAAATGAGAGGAATCAGATCACCTAATTATAGTTTAACACCACAATATGAATGTAATAAGGAGTTTATACTTATGCATCATGTTCTTCCAAAGAACAACTTCGATACACTTTGTGAAATAATTTGAAGCCACCAACACGGAGCAATCTCCTTTGAAAGGAGGATGAACCTGCCTAATGAAGTCCAATCCCCATCCTTGAAATGTCCATGGTTCGATGATAGCATACATCATTCCAGTAGGCACCGACTGCACATTGTCAAATAACCATTGACACTTTCCACACCCTCGGCTATCATATTAAGCCAATAAAAATGAGTCCATCGTAGAAACCACTTCATCGATAGCCGATTGATTCATACTACAAATGCCTTCGTGTACCTCTCCCTAGTCACTAAAACTTTATCAGAATCCAAGCACTTCAGCAATAAGCCTTTGACGGTTCATTGATACAACTCATCATTGACCAACATGTACTTAAATGCTATCCACCAAACAGTTTTATCAATTTTAGCACTTGGATCGTATACATAAGCAATAATGGAAGCTCACAAATCACTTACTTTGATCTCAATAATGAAAGCTCTCAAATCACTTACAAGAAGTTTTATCAAGAAAACTAGCTAGGGTGGTTTCTAAAATTGCCCAAGACAATTTGGCACTGTCGACCATAGAATAACTGGACAATTTCTCGAGTCTGGACAGACCGTTTTTTGCTAGAATCCCTTCAGCAGCATGTTATTGCATCGACTCTTCTATAATATGAAAATGTCGCTCCGCAACATGGTAGCCTATAACACTTGTGCTAAAATATTGGTATTCTCATGCCTAGGAATATAACAAATTTGAAATTTATCAAATGGCATTCTCGACATAGCATCTAGCGGCAGCATCCGCTTTGAGACACTCAAGTTCACCATAGACTGCGCGAAGCTAGCCCGTTTTGCCCCCACATTCACTGCAGGCCAGGCTTTCCATTTCGGAATCCTAGACTTCGTCATTTGGGTGCCTCACATTCTTTCGTTCCATATCATTTCGTTAAGAAGAATAGTATATACCAATGTGTGCACTGAAGAATACCATACTAGTTAACTCACTCGGAGGAGAGATGCAAGCTAATTTTAAGTGACCCACAGTTGATCTCTTTATAAGGGGGGTAGAGAATTCTTAGCAAGTCGATTGTTTTAAAGACCGCCGATACTGATATGATTCTTGGAATGGATTGGTTAATGGAGACTGGAGAGAGAAGCTATAATTCAGTGTTGACGATTGAAGTTGAAGTTGATATGCAAGCTAAAGATTGAGGCGCAGTCAATTAACTAGAAGTTAATTCTAGAGATCAGTTCAAAGTGGTAAAGGAGTAGCTGCTGCTCTTTGGAAGATCCTTCGAATCTCAAGGACGAGATTCATTTTCCAATAGAGTTTGAACTTGTATCAGGTTTTGGTGCTTTTGCCTTTGGTCTGATAAATACAGCATCAACAAAGAATAACAGATCTTCGGAGACGAACTAATAATGCCACCTAGTTGAGTGTAAAACAATTGCTACTGATAAAAATTCTGAAGGATATCAAATACAAGATGAAACGATATTGCAAAATAGTTCTAACAGCAGAAAAAATTCAAACTTTTTCAACCAAACAAAAATACACACAAGTTGAGTGAACAAACTACGCTTTACTCACTTTCCAGGAAGGAGGCACTCTTGGTCTTGGCACGATAAAAACGTCACGTTTTTTTTTCTAATTCCTAGCAGCAAGAACAAAGGTAGATTCTCGCAAATCACCGAGGCACAAGTTGCACAAAGCACGTTAAAAATTTTCAAGTAGCCTTGCTAGAAAATACCGTATTCAGGATTTCAAGGTAGGGTTGACTGACCAAGGCGCACGCTTGAAAAGTTGAAGTCCATGCATGCATCTAACATGCCCTTGACAAATCAACGCACCAACCAGGGAATCATTCTCCAACGTTTTTTGCCTATATAACAAGCTACTACCTCACGCATGCAAACGGACAATGCCACACTGACAGACACAAAGCATACAGCAAGTCCACAATGGCATCTCCACCGCCAGCCACCGTGATCCAGATTCCTAATTCGCACACCAACGGCGTGCCAGTGAGATCACCGACGATCATTACCGCCCCACACATGCCTAGTAAGGTCGCCGATGCTGAATCCACGGCTATGCCGTCAGCACCCAATCCCGGGACTGCGACCGACAAGATGATGGCAAGCACGGCGAACCTGGCGCAGCTCTTGCCGACTGGCACTGTACTGGCGTACCAGGCGCTGTCTCCAACGTTCACAAACCATGGGAGTTGCTACCCGGTGAACAGGTGGCTCACCGCAGTGCTGGTCGGCGTCCTGGCTGTTCTCTCCCTCTTCTTCTCGTTCACCGACAGCATCATCGGCCGTGACCGCAAGCTCTACTATGGCATGGCCACGCCCCGCGGCTTCAATGTGTTCAACTTCTCCGGGGAGGAGGAGGAGCAGGGGTGGGCGCTTGGCGAGCTGCAGCGGCTGCGGCTCCGCCCGCTGGACTACGTGCATGCCTTCTTCACCGCCGTGGTGTTCCTCACCGTGGCGTTCAGCGACGTTGGGCTCCAGAGGTGCTTCTTCTCCAACGCTAGTGACAACACCAATGAGCTCCTCACCAACCTGCCGCTGGGGATGGCGTTCCTGTCCAGTTTTGTGTTCTTAATCTTCCCAACAAAGAGGAAGGGCATCGGCTACAACGATACCACACCCCGTCAGAGAGCAGCTTGAGGGCCACTCTGCATTTCAGAATTTCAGATCCGGAATATCAAACAATTGTTAATTGCAATGCTGGTAGTATGGCTAATAAGTTTAGATCTTTATTACTTCCTGTATTGTCTACTTTGTACCAAGAGATTTAGACTTCGTAGGTCACCCAGTTTTATAAGGTCCACGGAGGTACCATGCAGTGATTCTTTTCCTAGATTATTTCAGCCATTTGGATTACTCACTCTGTCCCAAATTCTAAATCTCTACCCTAAAAAGACCGAAACATCATTGTACCCGGTGATACCAAGTCTCGATCCCTGCTCACGCATCCTACCCGGTTCCGATATAAAGACCGGATCCACATGTCCGTGTCCGATATGAAGTTCTTGGAGCTCACGCGTCCTCGTCCTATTACTGAGATTCACTCCAAAGATGATGAGCAGACGGTAGCACCAGGTGGGGTTGAGCAGACTGCCTGGAGGAAGGGGTGCACATGGGGAGGTGGGCTGCCGGAGGTTCACTCCAAAATCCAGTTTTTTGCCATTATGTTTAAGGAACTGTTGGAGATCCTCACGGTAGCAAACATGTGATCATGTTTCTATAATCAATTCGATACCCTGGCCTATTTGAGAACGGCTAAAAAAAATGTTGTTTGAACTTACGGTTATCCTAGCGCTCGGACATATGGCGCGAGCGCGCGTCCGGACGCACCTCGGGGGCATTCGATTGTCGTAACAGGAACCATTCGATCCCGATCAAATGAGCATAACGATTCCTCGGAAACAATACGAGCTAACCAAAAATCCGGCGGCCCGTGACAGGGGGTGCGCCGCGACTTTCAAGGGAAACATCGCAAATTATGTAAACTATGTAGTGCAACATCAGAATAAAAATACTGCAACATCGCAAAACTATATAATGCAACATCAAAAATTATGTACTGCAACAATAAAAAAAATATGTACTGCAACATCTCAAACAATATGTACTGCAACATCGCAAAATCAACCATAAAACATGGAAATTGAAAACATCTCAAATCACCTTTTAGTGTTGCAACATTTGAAAAGGGTAATTTCAACAATTAAAATCATCTGTTGCAACATTAGGGAAAAAAATACAAATCCCAACATTAGAACTCTATTTCTGCAACACATGAATCACCCTATTACAACATTCGAAAATCATCTGTTGCAACATCCCAAAAATCCCCTTGCAACATGGAGAAACAACAACAACAACGTATGTACAAAACAGCAAGGAGATGGGTTTGAGGTGTAGATTGCTCCAACCCCTGGCTCATCACCTTCGAGCTCGTCGGAGGGAGAAGGGAATACGACCCCAGAGTTCGCCGGAACCCTAGCCATCGTCACGTCCCTCAGATCCAGAGGAGGAGGAGGAGGCGGCGGCTCAGATCTAAGGAGGACCGACCTACCTCGTCGGAGCCGCCGCCGTCGTGTCCTCGTCTCCGATGGGGGAGCGGTAGCCAGGTCGCTGGGGCGCGGAGTAGCAATGGAGGTCGCGGAGGGGGGAGGGAGGGAGGGAGCGCTGGCGGGTGGGCGGAGCGGTAGCGAGTTAGCGCGCGACGTCCGTCCTGGCGGGCGGGCGGGGCGGCAGTAGAATGGAAGGGGCGCGAGCGCTGTGGGAGTGAGCAGTCGAGGAAAGGATAAGGAGGAGTGTAGGAGCCAGCGTGCGGCACGGATGGGTCAGATTCGGCGCGGGTCGAATGCGCCCGTTCCTGTCTCGACGCCCGCTATGTATCATTATAGTTGAATTTATGAAAAGATTGATTGCATTTAAAAAAAATGTTTGCTTAGATTTAGGGGGAAACATAAAGATTGCATGTAAAGATCTTGGTCATTGTCCCGCTGTAACACGGGCATTAGTCTAGTTCTAATAACATTCTGAGCCCTTGTATTTCTACTGATTCGGCAGATGCCCTGCTGACCTGCCATATTACAATTCATTCTTGTTTTTTCTTTTTATGGAAGTTGTCCTTCGCCTGGCATCATCTCTGCACGCTTAGTCCGCTCCATCGGCCCCCCAACACCACACCCCCAACCCCACACCAAAACCCAAATAGCCATCACCACTGTGTCGAGCGCCTCGTGTGGGCGCAGCTTGCGGCGACCGACGAGTATCCATGAACCGTGGTTGCAAATTACTTGGTAAACCTGAATGCTAAACTTGTATTGTCAGGGAACGGGCTCAGTTCCTCCCCCTTGGCGTGGTCAGAGTTCGAGTCCCAAGAGGCTCACTCTTTATTTGTAGCTTTGGCCGCAATGATCAAGGAGAGAGAAAAAACTTCCTCGTCTGCCCCACATCCAGAGCACAGGTCTGTGGTCAGCTCATCTCACGAAGCTGTGGTGCCGCTATATATGGGTGGGATAGGAGATCGAGGGTTTTCTCGATCTACATGAGGAGATCTTCTTCTTAAGCCGGAATACCCAGGGCTGTCTAGTCACCACGGATCGAGTTTTTTAAACTTGTAGTGTCATTTGTGAGGATACTAAATAATGTTCCCTAAACAATGCAGCGACTTGAGGTTATCCTAACACCAACTCAACTCATAATCTCATGCCTGCCAGTTCAACGAGGACGGGGCAGCCAGAAACTTAAAACTTGAGCCTGTTGATGCCAAAATTGCGGTCAACACACTGATAATGAGCTAGGTCGCTCGGTATAGAGTCTAGCTGACTTTCTGGTCGGCTAACGCCTAAGGTATATTTGCACACAACCTGGCGCCTCTAGCGATGAGCGCAATACACAAGACACATCGCCGGAGGAGCCTCATCGGGGGTGCAATATGTAAGACACACCGATAAGGTGTCTTGAAATTTGAAACCCCACATGGTCGAGAGGACCCTGTGTTGACAACCAAAAATGTGAACATAGAAATTGGGCTTTACCAATAAGTTTCTGGCATCAACAAGATATTGGAAAATATTTGGCACAACAAAGATCGAAGCCCAAGCTGAAAAGGATAAAATTGGGCTTGCCCTGCCCAAACCGGCACCCAGGCCGGTTTCCATGTACTGTTGGCCTGCCAAGGCGCCTGGACCCGAGAAAACCGCCCAGGCCGGTTTGGTTCGAGTCAGGTTTGTTTCCAAATCAGTTTTGGATCTATTTTTGAAGTGGAAAACTTGGAGATTACGTTTCGGACATGTTTCCTACTGAGATATGACCACCCCCTCCATATAAACGAGAGGAACACATCCTGTTGAGGAATCCAACTTTCAATCATCAAAAAACATACTATCTTTTTCCCTAACTCATCAGTAGATACATTGGGGAAGCAACCCCTAGCCTTTGGAGTGGAGTACTGGTTTGCTTGTGAGATCATGGCGCGGATGACTACTTCACCATCTAGTATCTATTACTTGTTTAGGTCAACTATGTCGGAGCATGGCTTGGACAGTTGTATACAAAACTGACGCCTTGTTCGTCTGGCTAGAAAAACGCCTGATGCTGATGCTGATCTGTTGTGAGTGAAAAACACTGTTATTTCGCTAAAATGGTACAGCTGATAAGTTCAAGCGAACAGGGCTAGTCAACCTTAGGAGAATCTTATCAGGAACTTCTAGGGTTGGCCCACGTAACTCTTGGGACCTCAAAAACTGTAAGTAAAAGCGCAATGAGCTCTCTAACATCCAGATGCCGACATCATTAACACCTTCAATGGTGGGACTACATGTGAACCCCCTAGTGCACAAGCTTAGTGTGAGCACAACGGCCTATCATCTATCCAAGTCAGGCGCTGCCGCATTACCATCATCTCGAACTCTCCATTGTTTCTGCTTCGACACATCCTTGCTAACGTCGTCAACAACATCATCGCTCCTCCACCACTAACCATGGTGACTTCATCTGCAAACGTGATGTTTGTGAGTTCATGCTATTTTGCCATGTTGTTCAATTCAACTTGTATCTGACGGAATTACATGCTAGTATATGCATTTGTCATGGTTTATGTCCTAGAATCAATCATTAACTTGCCTAATTTCTAAATAGAGTTTGACCTTGTATCAGGTTTTGGTGCTTTGGCCTTTGGTCTGGTAAATACAGTATCAACAAAGAATAGCATATCTTTGGAGACGAGCTAATAATGCCACCAAGATAGAATTTGTGTAAAAAATAGCTACTGAAAAGAAATTTATAAAGGATATCAAATAAAAGCTGAAACGATATTGCAAAATAGTTCTATCAACAGAAGAAAAAAAATCAAACTTTTCCAACCAAACAAAAATACACACAAGTTGAGTGAACAACTACGATTTACTCACTTTCCACGAAGAAGGCACTCTTGGTCTTGGCACGGACATTATATACTAGCAGCATAGACATACATGATGCAAAAGCAACGCTCGACAAGCATATAACAAATAAGGCAGGACATATATACACGATATGGAGAAGGTCATTATTTCACAACTTTAAACATGACATTTGTATGTGAGATTAAGCATATTAATAAGTACAACAAGACAGCAAGACATAGACATATATATGAATTAAAATATGGAAAGAGCACATATACTAAACCATGGCATAAAACAATTAAAACTGCTTGTTGAAATTTCGGATTACAAACACCCGTATATCGTCTTCTCTCATATTTGGCCACAAAAATATCCATGCCCAACGGATGCGATTGTAGCGCCACCCCACTTGCTTAAATATATGGTGTTGTAATGGATGGATAACGACCGATGCTGAAAAATCGTCGGGGCTGAAAAGGGTGCATGAGACGAAACTGCCGTTGGATTCACTGGATGTGGACAAACGGTAGCTTTCTCTCCATGTTGGTTTGCGAGATTTTCTAGGTCCAACCAACTAGCAGTAGCTGCGTCCTTTCCACCACTACACACTAACGACTTGGACGCCTGGAAATTTTCATTCCGCCATCGATGCTTCGGCTCTGTTTTGTGCTTGCACGGCTTCGATGCTTGGACTCCGTTTTCATCACCGCAGCATAGTTTATTCTCGATCATCTCCGTCACACCTCTGGCCGTCTAAAATAG